CACGAAAGCTTATGCTCTAATAAATTTGTTAGTCTCTAAGGTGCCACAAGTACTCCTGTTCTTTTTGCGGATACAGACTAACACGGCTGCAACTCAGTAACAAAGAAGTCACTGTAGTCTAGTGCAAAGATCAGGTGACACCACCAGTGAACTCCTATGGTCTAGCCCCAGCTATGCCACAATGACTTAATCTGTGAATTTGGACAAATCACTCAATCTCTCATTTTCATTATTTTACAGTGATGTTGTGAGGATTACTTAGTCAATGTGTGTTCAGTGCTTTTAAGACGTTAAATGCTAAATAGTATTATTGTGGCACTCAGTTAAATTATAAAAACTATTTTTTAAAAATCTTGTTTTATATCTTTTAATGCATCAACTACAAATATTCCCTTATCCTTTCAGAGTTAAAATACTGTTATGGAGGAATTAATGTTATGGTTCTGGGTTTTCTCTGGGTTTAATATATCTAGTAATGGGGGCAAACAACCTAACTAGTTTTAGGATGGATCTTGATACATTTATGAACAGGATTATATAACAGGGTTGTTTGCATTATCCGGGGACTGGACTCAGTAACCAAGGAGAGTCCCTTCCAGGACTATATTCCTGTGTTGAATGTTCTTGATATATTTTGACCACCAGTCCTTGAAACTTGATTGTTTATTCTCACAGGATCAGTTCCCCAAATCAGAGAGAGTTGGATATCCTGACTGGGTGTATGCCATCATTGTGATCTTGGCTGGAGTGCCTTGTTTGGTCATCCCTGTCTTTGCCATCTACAAAGTCATCAGAAATTGCTGTCAAGAACAAGATGGACATCAGGGCCTTGTCATCTCAGTTTCTGAGCCCTCTGTGAATGGAGACCTGAAGAATCATGCATAAAAACGTATTTCAAAGAGATGGAAAAAAGACCTTGTTAGTGATGGAAGGAAAAACAAACCAAAAAATTTAAATGACATCCATAGTTAGTTCCATTGTCATAAAGGGGCAATGATGTGAGTTCCCAGGGGAACAATGAAACTAAGTGAATCCTATAGTAACTGATTTCAGTGTCTGACTGTTCAGGCAGGAGAAATAATGTGAACACTAATTTTATGCTGATTTGTGTCTTGCACACTCAATTGTTTTTAAGCACATATATCACTGTGTTGCACAGAGTCACAAATACTTTTCCTCAAGCGAAAGTTTTAAATATTTAATTATTAAAACATTTCTAAGTATGAAAAAGATTTCTTGATTTATATATACCATCTGGATATTTCACTAACTTCCCCTTTATTTTCTAATTGCCAGCAGATAGTTCTTTCCCCTGCTGACAACATAGGAGAGTAGCAGCAGCAGCTCAGGGAATGACACAATCTACCTTTTTTAGCTCCTGTTTAACAAACAGTGGAAGGAGAAGTGGTCTCACACACACCCCTTGTCCAAGACTTCCTTGGTGGCAGGGGGAGCTGACGGGGGACAAGTTAGGGTTGCCAACCCTCCCGGTTTCGCCGGGAGTCTCCCAGAGGCTACTAAAGCCAAACTGGGAGATTATAGGCACTAAAAGTCCGGCGGCGCAGTGGGGCTAAGGCAGGTCCTGGCTCCACGCCACTCTCGAAAGCGGCTGGCATGTCCCTATGGCCCCGGGGGGGAGATAGAGGGTTCTGTGTGCTGCCCCTGCCCTCCCCCACCCCAACTCCACAGCTCCCAGCACTGAACTTCCTGTTAACCCCCTACCAGGCCAGCTACAATAAACAAAACCACAACTTAATACTAAAGATAAAGTTATGGCACCATCTATTGGTGGAGGTGCTGGCTGCACTAATCATTACAACTTATCCCCTCCAGTTAAATAAGGATTTAAAACAGTAACTCCTAGGAACCCAGGTAGTCTGCCATCCACACAAGCTTCAGTGTAAGTCTGCTCGAGTCTTATATTTAACAATGGAGCTATTGCTCATAGTTGGATCTAGATTGTTAGCAATTTGGAGGGTTTATATCCTCCAGGTTAGGCATAGCTGTTGTGGACAGACTGTGCATTGAAGACTGCAGTGTGCTGAGGTCCCAAAAACACTTTGGCAATTCTTCCTGCAAACTTGTCTCCCACTCTAAGAAACAGAAATCTGCTGGGGTACCTCCAAATCCTGTTCTGCATCCCTCTGGGACAGTTGATGAGCATCCTCAGTGTTTACTCTCCGTTTTCTTTCAATAAATCTGTTCATCAGGTTTCAATGGACTACAGAAAGGCAGTGTCAAACCTGCCAATGGGCCCATAGGGCCCATGCCCAGGGGTCCCAGCCAATTGGAGGGCCCCAGAAAAATGGGCTCCCCAGAAGAAATCTGCCATGGGGCAGTGGAAGCCTGGAGCCCTGGCAGAAGCCGTGGGTGGGGCAGGGCAGGGGAAGCCCCAGTGTCCCAACCCCAGTCTCTGGCAGAAGCTCCGGGCAGGCAGGTGGGGCTGGGGAAGCTCCAGTGCCCTGACCCTGGTCCCCGGCACAAGTGCGAAGCAGGAGAACCGCCAGCACCCCAACCCTGGTCCCCTTCAGAAGTTCCAGGTGGCAGGGGAAGCCCCAGCACCCTGACCCCGGCTCTGGCCCCAGGACTGCAGGCACTCTCACTCCCTGCTGTGGCCCCAGGGCCATGGCAGGAGGACAGAGCTGCTCCAGTCTTGGGGCTGCAGTGGGGGATGGCAGAAAGGAGCAAACGGGTTGCAGGGCTGCAGTGGGGGGGGGCAGAATGGTGGGTGGAACAGGATGAGGCCACAGGAGAAGGGTCAGAAAGGGGTGGTGTTGTGGATTGGGCCACAGGTGGAAGGGGCGGAACGGGGGTAGAACCACAGGCAGAAGGGGTGGGGTGGGTCCCTCCACTTACTCGGGCCCAGGGCAGGAAACCTTAATCTGCCTCTGCAGAAAGGCTAGCTCTTCCTTTTTCTAGCAGCAAGAATACATTATTTAGTTTCTTAATTACTGTAAAAAGAAGTAACTCCTCTAAAAAGGAGTAAGTCTGGGATTTTTTCCAGACTGCCTTTTCCAGTTGCATAACCACAGAGCCTTCCTGGATGGGAATTTAATGTTCCTCTTTCCTGGCATCTTGTGTGTGGCATGCTCACCTCTGGCTCATTTGTTCCGCTACCTTCTGGAATGCTGTCCTAGATCATTGATATAAGAATCTGCCATGTCACACATCTGTGTAGGTGCAGGAACAAGCAAGGCCCTGTTGCCTGAACATTGCCACAGGGAAGCATGGTTTGCAGAGTCCAAGAATAATCTCATAGGGAGAGTAATAACTAGCTGAGTGCTATCTAGTTTTATATACAAAGATGACAAAATATTTCTCTGTATCCCAGTCTTGTTGGACTCAAAGAATGGAACCAATGGTGCAGTTTACTCTCTCCACTTCCCCATTACTTGCAGGTGGGCAACGCTGTGCCTCACATGGTTACCTGGAGTTGTTGGTAAACCTCATGTAGTAACTGTGATTCAAATTCCTTCCCCTGATCACTGTAGATAAAAGTTGGAGGGCCAAACTGCTATGCTACATGGTTCATTAATGCATTTGTAACTGTATCATTCCTTCTATCTTTCAGTGACTGCACCATCTCATACATTACCAACAGCTATCGATCGCCACCTGGTGTTTCTGGCATTGGTCAGTGTGTGTGAACTCCCAGTGCTTCGTAGTTTCGGGCATTTCCCCTAAAGGAGTCCTGCCTCTCCTTGCTGCAGCTTTCCTTTCTGGACAGGCGAGACAGGAAAGTACCAAGTCCTTAACATCTGCAGCCATGCCCAGTCAAAACAATCTGCCAAAAATACCCTGCTCAGTTATACCCCAAGTGGACTTCCATTTCATGATCATGAAGGCACTCTAGTACTGTTCTCTGTAAGCTGGCTGGCAAGACAATTCTTTTACCTTCATGCACCAGTAATTTGGTAGCCAGATCAAAGGATAATTATTTCTGGTACTGTGTTGGACTTCCCCAGTCTTGCTCTCCTTTGATAGGTCTGTTGGTGCACCGAACATAACTTAGGGTCCTTAGATTGTTCTTGCCAGATGTCCTCACAAGACCAGGCTGAATTTAGTCTCACCGCCCTTCACTTAGCTGAGAGCATCCCCAACAGATTTTGCTTTCTAGGTTTATGGGGAATTGTGAATGTACATTCTGACAGTTTGTGAATCCATTTCTACAGGTGTCCTTCTGGGAATGGGCAACAGGGGATGGATCACTAGACGATTACCTGTTCTGTTAATTCCCTCTGAAGCACCTGACATTGGCTACTCTCAGAAGACAGGCTACTTGCCACTCTTTCTCATATTTCAAAAAGGCCAATCCCCCCTCATAGCAGTTGTGTAAATGTTTGCATAACTCTCTATAGGAACCACAATCCGCATTGGCAAGCTGCTAGTAAAAGGCTTTGGAATCGCCATCCAAAACCACTACTAGGTATTGTACTGCTTTCTCATCTACCGACTCATTCACAGAGAGCAACAGCTCAGTCTGTCAGCTACTCACAGATTCCAATCTCATCAGCGTGACCATAAACTACTTCTCAGGCAAAAGTCCTTTTGCCATTTTGAAGTTGCTGCCACTAGTTGTAATACTCACTTATAGAATCACAGGGATGTATTGGGACACAGCAAGCATCAATTCCAGCACACAGAGTCAGGACGCAGCTTCCTGCTAACCGCTACCTACCCTACAACCCCAGGTCAAATACAACAACATAACAATACAAGACTTAACACTAAGATAAAGATACTGCACCATTTATTGATGGAAGTGCCATCTACAGTAATCATTAAAGTATTAAGCACCAGAACACTCAGGGCTCACACTGTAAGCCTCGTTTATCCAGCTATCCCCTTTCTCCACATGTATCACTTTGCACATTTTTTTAAAGAAAAGATCAAGTCTGAGCTGACCCATCCCCTGACTTTCCATCATAACAAAGATAGCCCATTGCAAAAAAGTATAGCTATGCTTTAAGGCAGCCAAGTGAGTTAGTGTGTGGAGAAATGTAACTACTTGAATTACTAAATCCTCACAAGTCCTCACTTGTAAGATAGACACTAAAGGGACTTGTAAGATAGACATTAAAATGAGGGGGGTTAATTTTCTTGTTTAAATGAAAACAGATTGTTTCCGTTGGCATTCATGCATAGAAATGATCCCCTCAGTTTCATATAGTCCACAGCCAGAAGAGGCCATTGTGAACATGTTGGTTAAGAGAATCTTAACCAATTAACCTGATAGAGATGTCCCACTCTAAACTGGAAGAAATTAGGATATGACATAGAAGATGCCAAAGAAAGTGATAAAGTTCCTGACCCAGAAGTTGTAATGTAGTTGGCTGTGAATGCAGCTACTCTTTGGATCAGTCAGAGGATGAAGTGACTGTATCCTACATAGTCAGTAGAGGAATAAAAGAGTTGTTGTAGTTTAATTAACACTACACTAGTCTACAGTAGTGGACCAGGACTCTTCATCTTAAGCTACTGCTGCTGCAATGTTTTGACTAAAGCTTTTAAAACAAATATGCAGGGGGAATTAATTCTGGAGCCTATAAAACTTGATGAGTTCTTGCACCATGGCCCAGAGTTTTAAAGGATTTAAGTGTTGCTTAGCTCAGCATTGCAAGGCATAAGTGACTTAGGAACCTAAGTCTCAGTGAAAATGAATTGGACTTAGGCTCCAAAGTACATAAATTTCTTTTGAAAATGTGATTTAAGCTCCTAGACAAATTGAGACTGGAAATAATGTGTAATTTTTTAATAGTGAAGGTAATTTAAATCAAGAATGGATGTTTTTCTAAAAAATATGCTTTTAGTTCAAACAGGAATTATTTGAAGGAAGTATGTGTTATACAGGACATCAGATGAGAAGATCACAGTAATCCCTTCTGGTTTTATAATCTATAAGCATGGAGAACATCAGGTGACTTGATCACAGACTACAATACTTGTACATAAGGAAGAGATTTCTGATAGTACACAGCTCTTTAATATAGCAGGAAAGGGCATAAATGAGATCCAGAGCATGGAAGCTGAAGCTAGACAAAGACAGACGAGAAATAAAGTGCAAAGTTTTTACAGCGATGTGACACTTTCTCAGGATGTCCTGGACCGTGGGTCACCATGCTACCTTCCTGCCTCCAGTGAGAGGGAGTCTTTCTTGTGGTGGCTGAATGTCAGCT